AAATTAGCTTATTTATTTATTTATTTATTATTTATTTTTTTACAAAACTTTATTCTTAAATGTATAATAAGCTCCCAGACAATACTTCTTCATTCTAGCTGTAGGTGGCAACTGATGTTATCATAGGGAATCCAGATGTTAAAACAGGAATGGAATTTAAGATCGCCATTGCCCCAGGCACAAAGGAACAGCCCCTTTCTGGCCAGATTTCTTATTTCACAAGTGTCTTGGGGGCCTTTTCCATTGGCCTTTGCTTTCTGCTGGAATGCCTTATTTTCCTCATCCATCTGCTTCTTGGGCTGTCTCGGGAGCTTTTTCTTGCCACTTTTGAAACTGCATATGACACCTGCTGCCCTTTCCCTTAGTGCTAATTCTTTCACTTATATCTTAGTAACTTCTGGGAAGCTGTGCACAACCTTCCTGATAAATGCCCAGCACTTTGGCCAGCCTGATGAGAGAGGCTGGATAACCAGATTGCTGCTCATCTCTGTAGCCCCCAGGTGGCCACTTATCTCTCAAAGGTCCAGGAACAGGCAACTTATTGTCTCCTTGGCCATGGCTCACTGGTGTCTCTGTGCACCCTATGACTCTGGTGCCCTCTCTGGCTTTAGAGTGCATTCTGCATCATCCTGGGCATAACCCTCCCATTGTTTATTAGCTTAACAACCCTTTACTGACTTTTCTCTTGCCTGGAGGTAAGAAAAGGAGTTGGTAATTTTTCAGAAAGAACTCCATCTTAATCTCACCTTTGAACAATTTGTACCTTGATATCTCTGTTACATAGATTTTGAAGTGTACTTAACTTCCTCCCCCGTCTCAAAGATTATGGATCTGTGACTCATTCCTGGATAAGGTGTGAACTAACTGCATTCTCAAGGGCTATTATAGGTTCCTCAAAACAGGAGAAAGTAAGTTTTTATATATTTCAAAGATTTTACATTAAAATCTCAATAACAAATGGATTCACCTGTGGCATAAAACTACATTAACTTCTGCTGAATGTACAATAAATATTAGGTATCTACAAAAATTATATTTTAAGATGGGAAGATAAAGTAAACAAAGAATAAAAGCGTAAGACGGTATAAAATAAGATGGATATTCCTATGGTATAAATGTAAAACCAAGAAACAACAACAATAATAGACCAAAAGGTCATCGTAGGACAAGGTATCTATAGAGCCCTGGTAAAGGACTTTACTGTTTTAAATAAATTTCAGTTTAGGTCTCAGTGTAAGAAGGTGATTTTGAGTAAAGCCTTCAAGGAAATGAGGGGATTTTTTGTCCTGAGTGATTAAAAAATATAGATGCAATCAGTGTGGTTTGATGGGAAGGTGAGTTGAGTGGGTAAGGCAATAGAAAGGGATGTATAATATAGGCCTAACTAGGCCATGATAAAGATGGATTCACTAATGACATGTATCTGAGCAAAGGAGTGGCAGGGTTAATGTGTATTTTAAAAAATCACTCTTGCTAGCCCTAACCGGTTTGGCTCAGTGGATAGAGCCTAGGCCTGCGGACTGAAGGGACCCATGTTCGATTCGGTCAAGGGCATGTACCTTGGTTGCGGGCACATCCCCAGTAGTGGGTGTGCAGGAGGCAGCTGATCGATGTTTCTCTCTCGTGGATGTGTCTACCTCTCTATCCCTCTCCCTTCCTCTCTGTAAAAAATCAATAAAAAATCACTCTTGCTGATGGTGAACAAGGATGCAAGCAGACGCTGAGACCAGTGACAGGATCAGGAGAACTAGCGGGGAAACCATTCCTGGAATCTAGGTAAAAGACTCATTTGGATGCGACCTAATGAGAAGAGAGTGCTGCAGGCTTTTCTGATGAACTTCCAGGAGAGAAAGGGATGAACGAGGGGTAGTTTTATGAAGATGACTTCTATTTCTAAATGATTTATTTGAAACAAATTGACCCGAGAGCTAGAGTTCTTGTGGTGAGGTTCTTTAATGTGGTGCAGACTAAACCCTGGATGGAAGGAGGTGGGATAGAAGAAAGAACTCTGAATATAGCGGCATGGGAGGAGTTGCCATGTTTCTCAACTCACCAGGTGTCTGGATGCCAAGAACAGGTTCACCTTCTCATTGGTAGTTACTGATCCAGGGTACAGGAGCGGTTTTAACAATGTTGGCTGGACACTCCCCCGCCGGCGCCTCCCCACCGCCTTCTCCAGCTGTAGGTCGGACGCCCGCTGGGGGTTCTGCGCGGGCGGCGGAAGGGCGCGTGGGGGACGGAGCGCAGGCTGCTCCGCGCCCCGAGGAGCGCTCGCGTGCTCGCCCAGAGCCCGGGCGGCGGGTTACCGCCACGGGAGATGCGGGGACCGCGCGGACAGGGAGGAGCGGGCACCGCGGCCGAGGCTCGGCAGGGACCCGCGATGGCAGCGCCTCGGGAGGAGACTCCAAGGAAGGCGGGTTGCTCTGGCAGCGGCCGCTGAGGGGCTGGCGGGCGACCTGGACGAAGGGACGAGCGGCGCGCTCCGCGTCCGCGCCCCAGCTCCGTCGCCTCCGTTGTCTAAACTTCAGGCTCCCGTCCACCCGCCCTCCGCGCCCGCAGTCAACAACTTCTGGGCCCCCCTGCGCCCCCGCCCTTGCTTCCGTCGGACCCGGGAGCCCGCCCCGGAGCGGGAAGACGGTGTGGCCAGGGGCGGAGGGGCGCGACTGCTCCGCGCCTCTCCTCCTCCTCCTGCAGCTGTCCCTGCCCTGCAAGCAGCCTCCGCAGCTGGCGAGCGCCTGGGCCGCCAGCGGGGGCTGCCAGTGCGGCCATCTCGGCCTCGGAGAAAGTGGACGGGCTTCACCCGGAAAAGCGCTCCCAGGGCTCGTGGCAGTTCCGCCGCCAGGGCAGCCCCGAGGAGCGGCAGCCCCTGCCCCAACTCAAAGATGCCACTTCAAACGAACAACAAGAACTCTGCTGTCAGAAGTTGCAACAGTGTTGTGTACTGTTTGATTTCATGGACTCTGTTTCAGACTTGAAGAGCAAAGAAATTAAGAGAGCAGCACTGAATGAACTGGTTGAGTATGTTTTCAACTAGTCGTGGTGTAATTGTTGAATCAGCGTATTCTGATATAGTCAGAATGATCAGTGCAAATATCTTCCGTACTCTTCCGCCAAGTGATAATCCAGATTTTGATCCAGAGGATGAACCCACACTTGGGGCTTCTTGGCCTCACATACAATCGGTATATGAATTTCTTCTTAAGATTTTTGGAAAGCCCTGATTTCCAGCCCAGCATTGCAAAGCGATACGTTGGTCAGAAATTTGTACAACAGATCCTGGAACTTTTTGATAGTGAAGTTCCCAGAGAACGTGACTTCCTGAAGACTGTTCTGCATCGAATTTATGGGAAATTTCTTGGATTAAGAGCATTCATCAGGAAACAAATTAACAACATTTTCCTCAGGTTTACATATGAAACAGAACATTTCAATGGTGTTGCTGAACTCCTGGAAATATTAGGAAGTATTATCAATGGCTTTGCATTGCCACTGAAAACAGAACATAAACAATTTCGAATGAAGGTTCTTATTCCTATGCATACTGCAAAAGGATTAGCTTTGTTTCATGCTCAGTTAGCCTACTGTGTTGTACAGTTCCTGGAGAAAGATACAACACTAACAGAACCAGTGACCAGAGGATTGCTGAAATTTTGGCCAAAAACATGCAGCCAGAAAGAGGTGATGTTTTTAGGAGAAACTGAAGAAATCTTAGATGTCATTGAACCAACACAGTTCAAAAAAATTGAAGAGCCCCTTTTTAAGCAAATATCTAAGTGTGTATCCAGTTCTCATTTTCAGATTGCAGAAAGGGCGTTGTACTTCTGGAATAATGAATATATTCTTAGTTTGATTGAGGAGAATATTGATAAAATTCTGCCAATTATGTTTGTACAAAATCTCCAAGGAACGCTGGAATCCGACCATCGTAGCACTGGTCTACAATGTGCTGAAAACCCTAATGAAAATGAATGGCAAGCTTTTTGATGCTCTTACTAGTTCATACAAAGCCGAAAGACAAAGAGAGAAAAAGAAGGAATTGGAACGTGAAGAATTATGGAAAAAAATTAGAGGAGCTAAAACTAAAGAAAGCTCTAGAAAACCAGAACAGTGCTTACAACATGCACAGTATTCTCAGCAATACAAGTGATGAATAAAGAGAAACATGCCACCTCTGTGGGATAGGCACAGTTTTGTACACTTTTTTAAAAAAATGTAAAAATCATGAAACCTCAACGGTATAATTAAAAGGTCAATTTTTTTTTCTGGCAACTGTAAATGAAAACATATATGGACTAAACATAGCTCTGTGCTATATCATGGCCACAGTACATTGTAACATTTGTCTAATCATCGATTTATTGTGTCACATCTGAAGTTTCACAGAAATGAACTTTATCATCTATAATATGAGTGAGATAATTATGGGAGCGGTAAGAATTATGACTTGAGTTCTATTTTGATTGTGTTGCACACAGATACAGTAGTCTGCTCTGTATATTTTTCTCTTTTATAATGTGCTTTTCACATTGCTGCAGACCTTAGTTACATCCTGGGAAAAAAGTATTTCCTAAATAAAACTAAGGTATAATCCTTACCTTTCCCTGTGTCCCTCTCAGAAATATGATGGGGGGAATTACCTGCCAAAAGCCTCCCTTCATTAGAAATATTACTGTACTCTGGAATTGGAGCAAAAAACTTAAATCTCCAGGCTTTTTAAAGCACAACTTATAAATAAAAGCTAGGAAAGTAAACCAAATTCTTCAGATTGGTCCTCATGGTCCCCCTTATCTGCAACTCCCCAGTGATGAGCACAGATTAGTGGGGGCAGCACAGGTGAGCACACAGCCTGCCTCTCAGTTCATTCTTCTTCCTCCCCTTCCCCACGGCTGAAGGCAGGGCCCTTCCAGCCCTCACCACCTGCCCTCCTCCAGTCCCTCCTGATGGGGGCTTCGTGTCCCACAGCGTGGTGACACCAAGTGCTCCTTGTCACTGCCTGGCTTTACTTAAAGGAACTGCAGTTGGCTTCTGTAGCGTTCTAAGAAGGTTGACTATAGGGGTCTTGTATGTTTTTACTTGGTCAAGTATTTCTCATAAATTTTGTTATCAGAGTACCATTCCAATCTCTTAACTTGCAGTTGTGTGGAAAACTGTTTTGTAATGAAAGATCTTCATTGGGGGATTGAGCAGCATTTAATAAAGTCTATCGTGGTATTTTGCCTAAAAAAATAAAAAGAATGTTGGCTGACCCTCTATAAGATTTTTTTCAACATTGCGGAGACATGTTCATTTTTCTTATCTGAATTGTACATGTACAGAAAGCCACTGTAGGGACAATTAGGATATAATGAGATAAGAAAACTCAAGACCTAGTTGACCCTTACCTTACTCTGTAAAAACTCAAGACCTGGTTGACCCTTACCTTACTCTGTAAAAACTCCTACATTGCACCATCTCCAAGAGGGAGAATACATTTTGTTTCTGTCTATGTGTCTGTCTGTCTTTTTATTAGTGTTATTTATATATATATATATATATATATATATATATATATTGTTATTTCTCACCTGAAGATATTTTTCCATTGAGTTTTAGAGTGGAAGGGAGGGGAAAGGACAGAAAGAGAGAAACATTGATGTAAGAGAGACACATCAGTCTGCAGGCCAACACTCTATCTACTGAGCCAAACTATCTAGGGCTCTGTCTGTCTTAGTGGGAGGCTATCAATGGCATAATGCTTCTTCAATGATAGAATACAACAAACAAACAAACAAACAAACAGATACTTTTGTTAGTTTTCTAAGCCTGTCATACAAAATGCACTACAAACTAGTTGGCTTAAATTTATTCTCACAGTTCTGGAGGTTGGAAATATAACATCAATGATGTTGGCAGGGTTGATTCCTCTCAGGGCTGTGAGGGAGGGATCTGTTCCATGCCTCTCTGCTACTTTCTGATAGTTGGCTGGCATTTATTGGCATTCCTTGTTATGTAGTGGTATGTGTCTCAACAACCCTACCTATTTTAAAAGAATAACGTTGACCTCTGTAAGTCATTTATTTTATTTACACATCTGAAGAAAAGAGTACTATTTTTTAAATTTATTTTTCTTTCCTTTTTTATTTTAATTTTCAATTACAATTGACATTCAATATTATGTTGTGCTAGTTTCAGGTCTACAGCATAGTAGTTAGACCATATACTTTACAAAGTTCCCCTCGCCCCCAATATTTCAAGTTCCCACTTGCACCATACATAGTTATTATAATACTCCTATTTTCCCCTATGTTGTACTTTTATAATCTTATGACTATTTTGTGACTACCTGTTTGTATTTCTTAATTTAAGGTCAGAGTACTATTATTTGTCAAAAATATTTACATAAGCCCTAGCCAGTTTGGCTCAGAGGATAGAGCGTTAGCCTGCAGACTGAAGCATCCCTGGTTAGATTCTGGTCAAGGGCACATACCTTGGTTGCAGACTCCATCCCTGCCATTGGTTGGGGCATGTGCAGGAGGAAACCAATCGGTGTGTTTCTCTCACATCGATGCTTCTCTTTCTCTGTCCCTCCCCCTCCTTTCCACTCTCTCTAAAAATCAGTGGGAAAATATTCTAGGGTGAGAATTAACTCCAAAAAGATTTTTAAAAATATCTGTATAAGAAATAAATAGGTCAAAGTGATGTCAAAATTATAACTGGCTATAAAATTGTTCGGGAAAAAATGTCATTTCTATCCTGGTCTTTGCTGTTCCTGTAGATGTGTCTAGGGAATGAGTTTGAGTGCATAGGAAGGCTCTGTGAGGCACAGGTGTGTTACCAGGTAAACACTTTTCAGGTTAATGGGAATAAAGATGAAAGCTGATAAGAAAATGTCTACCAGATGATCATCTATTGAGAGATGGGGAGCAGGGAGCTTCTGGTTTTATTTATTAATCAAACACTGTGTTCCTGTGATGCACTGTTCTAGATACTGAGGAAACACCAGCAGACAAAACAATGATCAATCTAATGCATGAATTACTTTTAAAAAAGAAGAGGTAGCCCTAGCTGGTTTGGCTCAGTGGATAGAGAATCAGCCTGCAGACTGAAGGGTCACAGGTTCTATTCTGGTCAAGGGCACATGCCAAGGTTTCAGACTTGATCCCCAGTAGGGGACGTGCAGGAGGCAGCCAATCAATGATTCTCTCTCATCATTGATGTTTCTATCTCTCTCTCCCTCTCCCTTCCCCTCTGAAATTAATAAAAATATATTAAAAAAATAAAAAGAAATAAAAAGAAGAGCTGGGCAGTTAAAGAAAGATGTTATAAATTAGGTAGTTAAAATAAGAAATATATATCAAATGCACAGGAAGTAATAGTATTGGCAGTTTTGTTATAGATAAGTTAGATTAGGCCATTCTGATAAGAGGACATGTGAGGTGAAGACAAAATAAAATGTAAAAAGGGGTCATACTGACATCAGGCAGAAGATCATCCCATCTAGAGACAAGCAAATGCAAAATCTCTCAGACGGCATTGGATTTTGTGCTTTTAATATAAAAATGTTTTTATGGGAAAGGCTGGAGAGATTAATCCTAATTACACATGCAAAGTGAAAGAAATCAGACTCAAATGATCATATATTAAAATTCTACTCTTACGTATTGATCAGTAAAGGTAATTCCACAAAAACACAGGTGAAGTTAATGGTAGCCTGAGGCTCAGGTTCAGAAAGGGTGACTCTAATGGCATTAGGTTTGTTTTTAAGAAATAGTATGTTCTAGAATTGGACTGTGGGGATAGTTATTCTGTTTCATACATTTATTAGAAATTACTGTACTCTGAAATGAATGCATGTGACATAAATATAACTCAATAAAACTGTTCAAATAAAGTAAATCACACATTGAAAAGAGCAATGTAAAAGCACGGTTCATGTATATAACATGCTGGATGTGCTTGAGAATAGAAAAGTATAGTAAAGACTAATGATTAAAAAAAATGAAGAAGAAAAGAAAAAGACTAATGATGAGTGACACAAAGCTTTTGGTTAAAAAGGCCTCAATTTGTCCTCTATCCAGTAGAAAAGAGAAAACAGCAATCACTGCCTTGATGGGGTAAAATTTGTCATGTGACCTACACTAAGAGTAAAGTGTTTGAAATCATTACCAAGGGACCTTTTCATTGTTACTGACTACTCTTCTTCTCTCTTTCTCTTTTCCTTTCTTTACTGAATATTAATGTTTTGTCCTGTTCTAAATGTCTGCCCAATCAGTATTCTTTCTATTCCTGCCTTTCTTATCCTGCCCCCTTCAATATTCCCAGCCTTGCAGGAGTCTGAAAGCAAGAAGAGCCTCTGGAGCCAGGACAGGAAGAAGCCAGGGGAGCATAGAAATGGATTTTCTATCACAGGGGAGCATAAACGAGGAGGTGACCTGCTGCATCTGCCTGCAGCTCCTGACAGAACCCATGAGCCTGCGCTGTGGCCACAACTTCTGCCAACTCTGCATCGCTGCACATGAGTCAGAGAGCTTCTTTGGAGGGCAATGTCGCTGTCCTGTGTGCCAGAGCACATACGACCCTTGGCACCTCATGCCTAATAAGGAGTTGGACAACATAGTGAAGAAAATCAGAGAACTCAACATGTGGCCACACCAGCAGCAGAGGAGTGATCTCTGTGAGCAACATGGTCTCTGTGAGCAACATGATCTCTGTGAGCAACATGATCTCTATGAGCAACATGATCTCTGTGAGCAACATGATCTCTATGAGCAACATGATCTCTGTGAGCAACATGATCTCTATGAGCAACATGATCTCTGTGAGCAACATGATCTCTATGAGCAACATGATCTCTATGAGCAACATGATCTCTGTGAGCAACATGATCTCTGTGAGCAACATGGGGAAAGGAGGATGGGAAGGCCATTTGCAACCTTTGTGTCCAGGAGCACCCAGGTCACCAAATATCCCTCGTCACCAAATATCCCTCGTGGAGGAGGTGGTCAAAGAATGTCAGGTAGGCCCCAGAGTGTGGAAACATTGGGCAGAATGTTACCTGAAGTGAAATCTTTACTGCTTAATCCTATTTCTTTCCCTTGTCATCATAGAACTGAGTGCTGCATTCTCTTTGATATCCTTGGCTTAGCTTCTGAAGCCTGAGGGACATTGTTGTGCATTCATTCATTTTCTTCAGTAATATGCATATCAAAGAGAAGTTGTATGAGTGAGAATTCCTCCAGGTAAATTCTGATTGCCCCCATGAACATATGGAACTTTTAGGAACATGGTTGGTTAGATCTGGGAAGAGTGTTCTTGAGGAGAAAGGACTTTGCTTGCTTCAGGACCAGCTCTTTCTCTAGGAAAAGAGAAATCCAAGCTACTCTTGATACAGAGATGGAAACTTGCATCACCCTGGGATAAAGGACACACATACTTCCTCAGATTTCTGTCTGCATTCTCAGTTCTAATTGTTAGCTTCAGTTCTGAAATTCTAGTCTTTTCTGAGCTGAGCCTGATTTCTTCTCCATTTATCCTCTATCCAGGTGCTGAGAAAGCTCATAGCTTGACTTTGGTGGTTCCTTTCTCACAGGAGAAGCTAGAGGCAGCTCTGGATAGGCTTGCACAGGAGCAGCAGGAAGTTGAGGAGTTGGAAGCTGTCATCAATGAAGAGAGAGCTACCTGGAAGGTAAAAAGACATTATTCTTGAGGCAGCTCTAAAACAGCAAACTGAGCAGCACCTTGTCCAATCACAAGGATGCCCCTTCCTCCTTGTGACCTCAGAATTAATGAGTTGAGAAGACTTTTGCTCAGTCCTCATTCAGTTCCATTCCTATTAAGAGTTGGGAGCTACAGAGTAGATACTCCCAAGTGAAAGCAACTATTTAGAGGCAAAGACATAGAGAAGACCAATGTAAAAATAATTCATAAATTCGTGTCCCATTTCAGTCATCAAGTTTGAGGTTCTGATACTTCCAGAAGAAGCGTTAAGGAAGGCTCCGGATTCCCTGTTTTGGAGATATGGGTAGAGGAGTTTCATATGCAGTGTGGCATGATTATCCAAGACAGGTGACTGCAATCCAAGTCTCATTCAGGAAGCACATTGTGTTTCCTGGTGGGCCTTGAGAAAGTAAACTTGAATGAATTACTTTGGGAGCAGCTCAAGGGAAAAGAGTTGGGAAAATGCTTTTCCCAGGAATGGCTCATTTTCTTTTACCTCCTAAGTGCCGGAGGAAAATAGCTTTTGTCTTGGATTCCAAGGCCCAAGCCCTCAGCTGGACCGACTGACTGCTTCTTCCTCTTCTCTTCCCCATTGAATCACATGCAGACTGAGAGAGAGAGGATTCAGAAAGGGTTTGATGAAATGGGAGACATCCTGGACAGGGAGGAGCAAATGGAGCTGCAAAAGCTGCGGGAAGACGAAGCGCATGTGCTGGGTAACTTGGAGGTGGTCCAGCAGAGGCAGTACACGAGAGAGCTCATCTCAGATCTCCAACATCATATGTGTGAATCATCAATGGACAGGCTGCAGGTAGGACTTGGGCCGGAGCACCTATATATGTGATTTGAGGAAATCACAGAGATTAAGCTTCCTTCCCCTCTTCGTATCTGCATTTTCTTCCTTATTAAAAGACTAGAGACCCGGTGCACTAAAATTTGTGCACTCAGGGGTGTCCTTCAGCCCGGCCTGTGCCCTCTTGCAGTCTGGGACCCCTCGGAGGATGTCCACCTGCTGGCTTAGGCCCATTCCTTGGGGATTGGGCCTAAGCTGGCAGTCAGACATCCCTCTGGCAGCCCAGCAGCCCTTGGGGAATGTCCACTTGCCAGTGGAGAGCAGGCCTAAGCTGCAGTCGGACATCCTTAGTGCTGCTAAGGATGCGGGAGAGGCTCCCACCACCACTGCTGTACTGGCAGCCGCCAGCCTGGCTTGTGGCTGAGCAGAGCTCCCCCTGTGGGAGCGCACTGACCACCAGGGGGCAGCTCCTGCATTGAGCATCTGCCCCCTGGTGGTCAGTGTGTGTCATAGTGACCAGTCATTCCCAGTCATTCTTCTGTTAGGGTCAATTTTCATATTACTCTTTTATTATATAGGAGTGCCTGGCCAGCCTGGGTGAGGGGCTGAGGGTCGTTTTCAGGCTGGCCACACCCCCTTCAGGGGGCGGGGGTCCTGCTGGGATGCCTGGCCAGTCTGGGTGAGTGGCTGATGGCAGTTTGCAGGCTGGCCAAGCCCCCCAGCAGGGACCCTCACCCCATGAGAGTGTGGCCATCCTGGGTGAGGGGCTGATGGCTGTTTGCAGGCTGGCCACAGCCCCCAACCACCCAAGCTCCCAGTGGAGGCTGGCTGGAAGCAGGTATCTGAGATTTATTTGTCTTCTATAATTGAAACTTTGTTGCCATGAGCAGAGGCCGCAGCTGGCTCAGGGCCATTGGGAAGCTTGGCTTCCTCCATCGCCACAAGCCAGGCTGCCACTTCAGCAGCGCTAAGGATGTCTGACTGCAGCTTAGGCCTGCTCCCCACTGACAAGTGGACATCCCCCAAGGGCTGCCAGGCTGCCAGAGGGATGTCTGACTGCCAGCTTGGGCCTGATCCCCCAGGGAGCAGGCCTAAGCCAGAAGGTGGACATTCTCCGAGGGGTCCCAGACTGCGAGAGGGCATAGGCCCGGCTGAGGGACCCCTCCGAGTGCACAAATTTTTTTGTGCACCGGACCTCTAGTTATTTTATAAAAGGCTATGAAATCTTTTGAAAGAAGATTTTTATAGGCTTCTATTATCTGTGATCTAGCATTTGTAAGGCATTTTTTTCATTAAGCTTAATCAAACAATTCATATCTCTCTTTATGTTTGATTTTGTTATTGTTTTGTTAAGAGGTGGAAAATGTAATAACACCTGTGTGAAGGATGAGCATGTATGAATATGTATGTGTGCTTCTGTGTGTGTGTGTGTGTGTGCATATGGGGGAAACATATAGAGACTCAATAAATGAATTGAACCTAGTATGAGTGTTAATTTTTTTTCATGGAATTAACTTCATGACTGTGATCTTAAGCTATGAAACATATTGGAAATTCAGGATATTTCATTTCTCTGTTTGACCTCTTGCATTCTTTTTTGATAACTGAACAAGAATCTCTTAACTTCATTTCAAATACTGAAGTAATTAATTTCTATTTGCTGGATCATTACTACTTTTTTTAAAAAAATATATTTTTTATTGATTTTTTACAGAGAGGAAGGGAGAGGAATAGAGAGTTAGAAACATCGATAAGAGAGAAACATCGATCAGCTGCCTCCTGCACACCCCCTATTGGGGATGTGCCTGCAACCAAGGTACATGCCCTTGACCGGAATTGAACCTGGCACCTTTCAGTCCCCAGGCCGACACTCTATCCACTGAGCCAAACCAGTTAGGGCATTACTTCTTTTTTAAAAACATGTTTTTGATGTATAAATTATATAAAAAACCTACTCATTGTAAGAATACAATTCAAAGAATTGTATAAATATATTGAATTGTTAAACCATGTATAGATGGAGTTTGACATTTATTGAAAAAACTCTCCCTTCCTCCACTGAATTATTTTGGTACCTTTGTCAAAATCCAATTTGCTATATTATATTTCTAGATGATCACTCTTTCACATGAATCTTTATATTTTTGCACTCATACTCTAAGTTTTCCATTATTGTGGTTTCATAGAACATTTCTTCCCCTTCAAAATTGTTTGAAAAAAAGTGAAACAATTCTATTCAATTCAAAACAATTCTATTGTACTACTAAATCAGTTGTTTTCTAAGGAGACCATTTTAAGAAATGGGTGTCCCAGGGATCTAAGAATTGTACTGCCATCTAGTGGGTAGAGGCCAGAGATGCTGCTCATCCAGCTACAGAATACAGAGCAGACCCCATTGCAATTACCTGGGCCAGAAACACTCTCCTAGATCCATAGAATTTTCTATGAAACTTTTTTTATATCTTGCTAATTTTTACTTAAAGCCTGCTGATATTTTTATAGAGTAAGAAGATGGCAGTCTGTTAAGAAATAGACAGTTTCTGCATGAGACAGTTGTTTGTCTATCCAACATCATTCAATTACTTTTTTGTGTGTGTGTTGGTAACCATCTTTTGAATTACCTTTTGAGGAACCCATCTCTACCATCTGTCCATGTAGTTGATTAGGGTTGAGAAAATCAATATATGTGAGGGATATATGTGTCTCTCAATTCTAGGTAAATCAGCATATTTAATTCCTAAAATAGCATATCTATTCCAAAAATGCAGTAATTACTTTAAGATATGCACCTGACCCATTCAGGGCAATGATCTGTATGCCTTAGAATTTTATTGTTATGCCTAGAAAGAGAAATTATCTTTTCTGCTAGGTGATATGATTGGGATTATCACTTAAACAAGGATGTTTCAGTTGATGCCATATAGAGAATGAAAAGAAAGTCCAAATAGCAGGTAGAAAATAGAATTTTGAGAAAGAGCAGACCCTAGTGACAAGATTTTTTTCTAGAAATCTAGCTAATACAAAAGTTCTGCCTGTTGCCTGAGTTTTTTTCCTTTTTCTTTTAAATTTAAGGCAGTTCTGGCTGTTTTTTGTCAGATACAATAACAACAAAAACCTAATACAGAGTGTAAAACTTTTTGAGCAGGTACAGCCAACTAGTAACCAAGGCTTTGTTGGTATAAAAGGGTTTAGACTAAAGAGGGGGAAACCAAATATATTGGTGTATTTTTGTTCAAATAAATAAAGCAAATAATGTTATGATGGGAAAGAGTAGATGGCTAAAAGAAGCTTAGCATAGGGACTGAACTGGTTTAATACAATATTGGAATTCAGAGTAAGATGGACTTTTAAAACATTTTTTTAAAAATATGTTTTTACTGATTTCAGAGAAAGGGAGAGGGAGAGAGAGATAGAAACATCAATGATGAGAGAGAATCATTGACCAGCTCCCTCCTGCATGCCCTCTCCTGGGATTGAGCCTGCACCTCAGGCATGTACCCTGATCTCTTGGTTAATGGGTCGATGCTCAGCCACTGAAGCACAGCCAGGCTAAGATACACTTTTTAATTAAAGACAGTGATGAAATAGATATTGATAGTATTCTGGACAATGGAATGTAAATGGCTGGGAAACAGTAAATTTCATTTTAGACTTTCTCTGCTGCTGGTTTCTGTGACTTATAGTATAATTTCACATTGATGAGATTCCCTTAGGGTAGTGTGTAGAATGTATAAAACGAGTAGAAGACAGGGAAAAACATTTGCTTGAAGTGCTAGTTTGCTTGTTCCTACAGCAAAAGAAAAATATACATCCTGAGGAATGTAATTATTGATTAATCATCTTTGATTCCCCAGAGTTTGGAATTATGTCTAAAAAATAAATTTTCCTTTTTCACTGAAATATATAAAATAATAATAAATTAAGGGGGTCTTCCCATGAATGTGTATAAAGAAATAGTAGGCTCCTCTCTTCCTTTTAAATATATACTGTCTTAAGATCCTGGAAGCATATTTTCATTATCCTTACATGAGTCTCTAAGGTGGCTGGTCTGGGTCTTATCTCTCCAGTTTGTCCCCTACCTATATTCTGACCATCTATTTATTTACACCAGATCAAGGGGTGCTAGGGATGTGAAGAGGAAAGTGAGTAAAACTTTGAAAGGTAGGAAGACTTATTACTCCTTTGATGTTGCTAGACAAAATAAGGGATGTATAGCTAAATTTGAATTTCAGATAAATAACACATTATTTTTTTAGTGTACGAGTATCTTAAATATTTCAGAAGTCATGATTATATTGAAACATATTTATGATTTATTCAAAATTACATTTTAGCTAGCCATTTTAATTTTCTAAACCTGGCAACCTTACTCTTGACTTATGTTTTCTCTCTTTTCTCCAGGATATGATTAACATCTTAAAAAGGTATGTGTGTGTGAGACCAAGCATGGTCCTTTTTTTTTTGTATGATGCCAAAATTATAACTATAAGAGTAATCTTGAATCAATCATAATTTTAAAAAATCACAGATGTGGTAAACTTGGGTATTACAGTATTTCAAATTGTTGATAACAGGTGAAACTTTGTAATGGTATGGAATTTGGGTGGTGGGAGTGTTAGGTTAGGTGGCTCAGGAGGCGGCGCAAGAAATAGAGTCCAGTGAATCAGAAAAGAAAGGAAAGGAAAGTTTATTCTGCATCCCTGGGAGACCCACATACCCCCAAAGACAGGGCACGTGGATTCAGGCCAACATGGAGGGAGGCGCTTTTTTTATACTGCGGTTGGATGAGGGGCAGGGACATGAGCTGAGGTATTCAGTTGAGGAAACTTCAGCTGCAGGGGGGTCAGCAAGGTATTCAGGAATGAGTCAGTATCTGTGTGGGGGTATGTGGATTCAGGGAGAAGAAGCCGGTATCTGTGTCTGGCACATTGATCTGTGAGAAATTCCAGGGGGAGTCCATTGTCTCATCACATGCCTGCATGTATCCGATCCTGGGCTCTCTCCGACCTAACAGGGAGATCACAGATTTGGGGATAAGAGAAGCATTAGAAATAAGAGTCCCAAACAAGAAGAATCCAAAGAGGCCTACACCAAGACACATTATAATTAAAATGCCACCTGGAGACTATTATGTTAAGTGAAATAAGCCAATAAGAGAAAGAGGAATATCACATGAACTCCCTTATTTGTGGAATCTAATGACCAAAATGAATTGACCAACAGAATAAGATCCAAGGCATGGAGGCTAGAAACAGACAGACATATCTCAGGGTGGTGGTGGGGGGAACAAGAAGAGATAAACCAAAGAACTTATATACTTATATGCATAGGCCATGGACACAGACAATAGTTTAATGAAGGCCTTGGAGGGGTAGAGGCTGGCCAGAGAAGGATAAGGGGTGAGGGGAATGGAGGATATCTGTAATACTGTCAACAATAAGTATATATTTAAATTTTTAAAATGTCAAAGGTTAAAGACAAAATAAGAATCTTTTTAAAAAATATATATTTTTATTGATTTCAGAGAGGAAGGGAGAGGAAGAGAGGGATAGAAACATCAATGGTAAAAGAGAATCATTGACCAGCTGCCTCCTGCACACCCCACACTGGAAATCAAGTTCACAACCCGGGCATATTCCCGGACCAGGAATCAAACCATTAGCTCCTGGTTCATATGTTGACGCTCAACCACTGAGCCACGCCAACCAGGCAAAAGCGAGAATCTCAAAAGCAGCAAGAGAAAAGTAGTTAGTTACCTACAAGGGAGCTCCCATAAGATTTTCAGGTGATTTCTCACCAGAAACTTTGCAGGCCAGAAGGGAGTGCCATGAAATATTCAAAATGATGAAAAGCAAGGAGCTACTACCAAAATTACTCTACCCAGCAAAGCTCTCATTTAGAATTTAAGGTCAGGTAAAGAGCTTCCTAGACCAGAAAAAGCTAAAGGAGTTCATTACCACCAAACCAGTATTACATGAAATGTTGAAGGGTATTCTTTAAGAAGAAAGAAAAATAAAAATTACAAATATGAACAATAAAATGCCAATAAAAATATATCTGTCAACAATTAAATCTAAAAATAAACAAGCAGAACTGAAACAGACTCATAGATACAGAGAACATTCCGATGGGTGAAATAACTTTGTATGGTGTCAGATAGGTATGAGATTTTGGGGGATGATTACTTAGTAAGTTTTATAATGTCAAATCACTGGAATGAACACCTGAAACTAACATAATATTGTATGTCAACTGTAATTGAAAAATAAAAAATGATTTGAAAGAAAGAATAGGTTACAGTATCAGAATACCATAACTTCACTCATTTTAGTCAAACCTTAATCTCTTCCTTCTATATTTAACAGGTGTCTGTCTTATCACAGGGAAGATCTTTTCCCCTTTACCTCACAGGCTCCCAAATCTTCTACAAGGACATTTTCCTTACATATCCATTTCTCTATAGTGAAACAAGGTCTTTCTAGGTGATGTTCTTTGGATTGCAATTAATTAATTAATTAATTAATTAATAATAAATAAATGAAAGACTCAAATCTCAGAGAATAGTGACTTTAGTTCTGGTGTCAATAATAAATTTCTTTTCTTTTTACATGTGTTAGCAACTTCTAGGGAAAATGGCTTCCTTTGCCTAAAGTTGCCTACCCTCTTGGCAGCATCAAGCACATGAGATTCTGACCATTAGTAATTTGGATGTATTATCTTCCCTTTCCCAAATGTTTGAAATGATTCCCCAGAAGAGAATGTGCCTTTATATGTTACTAGTGACCCTTCCCATGAAATCGAACAAGATTTGGGACCCCTCCATGGCCCCTCCCCTCCCGTGCCATGGGACTGCCTTGAGTCCCAGGGTCCCCCGTGTGGCCAGTGTGTCATGGGATGGCCCCAAGTCCTGGAGTGCCGCCCCAATGCCCCTCCTCTGGGCCATGTGCAGCAGCCACCGGGCCCTGCCCCTGCAGCATGCACACAGGGCCGTGGAAACCCCAGCAGAAGCCATACAGAGTGGCCGCTGGCTCTGCCCTGCTCCCCTTCCCCTGCTGTGCACGCTGCCATCTTGAGGTGGCATTATGGAATGAGGGTCAATTTGCATATTACCTCTTTATTATATAGGATACTCAGCATCTGTACTGGAATAATAGACATAGAAAACACTTCAGATTTGCAAACTAGGTTCTAGAGAGTCTCCACTAAGCATCTGCCTGGGCACCATTATCCTTGGCCTCTTCCTGGAGGAACCACTGAGATGGCAGTGACTCCTCCGTATGTGAAATACTTTTTATTAGAGGCACCAAACAACTTTTAAAGGTACCACCAGTACATCTAGTAGTGTATTATTTTAAGAGGTAGAGAGTATGGGGTTAATTTTTCCATTTGGGAAGGAAGAACATGAGCTTTATGAGAAGTCCTTCCCAAGGTCACACAGAGAGTAAATAGAAAGGTAGACACGAACACATTCCTTCTGGTTGCAGTGTCAGGACTCTCACCTGTATCTCCCTCAGGATTTTCATTGAAGAGGATTCAAGTGAGAAGGCATCAGTGGAATAAAAGGTGAGAGAGACAGTGGTCTTGAAGAGACACAAGGTAAGAAGTGTGAGGGATCAATTTTTGTCTTCTCTAGGAGTGAGATCTGGACCTTGAAGAAGCCAAAAGTTGTTTCTAAGAAACTAAAGAATGCATTCCGATGTCCAGATCTGCCTTGGATGCTGCAAGTGTTTAAAGGTGAGGAGAGCCAAAGGAAGGATGTGTGTGGGGGGGGATTCTTATAGTACCAGAGTACATGGGGTAATGGGTACTTTTCTATATGAGGATAAAAAGTGATGAGGTAGGCCTCACAAGAAGACCCCGATTCCCTGTGCTGAAAATGTGAACACATCTAAGTGGGAATGACCAGCTGTCCTCCTTCACCAGTTGACAGCATCATAGGCTTCCCCTACCCTGTTCCGACTCAAGAGAGGATGGGAATTAGAGTTTCCTTTTTTGCTTCTAACAACATCATTGAAACTTTTGTCATTTCAGAGCTGGCAGAAGCCCAAAGCTACTGGGGTAAGAAGTTACAGGTTCTTCAAATCACCATGTTCTGATCCCTTTTCAGAAGCTGTGCTTACTCTTAGGTCCCATGATCTTAGTTACATGTGTTCCATCCAAACAGGTATACATACAGCAGTTCTTAACTGATCTACTCATCATTGACCCCTTAACTCATGTTCCTTCAAGTCAGTTTCCCATATTCCTTCTCACAATGTCACAAGACACATGCCATATTTAATTCACCTGACTGTGTATTTTTTCCTACAGTGAACTTGATGTTTAATCCACTCAACACTCTTTCGGATATTATCATTTCTGAAGATAGGAGACAAGTGACTGTTGGGAACTATTTTATGTTTTGGAATGTATATCCGCATGATTTTTCTGCTCTTGATGTCTTGGGCAGCCAAAATTTCTCCTCAGGAAAATATTACTGGGAAGTTGATGTATCCAAGAAGATTGCCTGGATCCTGGGAGTGTACAGCAAAACAAGTAATCTCAATAGAAAAAAAAGCTCTGGTTTTGTTTTTAACCCAGATGTAAATTACCTAAATGCTTACTCCAGATTCAGACCTGAAAATGGCTACTGGGTTGTAGGGTTACAGAATGAATCTGAGTACAATGCCTTTGAGGACTCTTCTACCTCTGACCCCAAGGTCTTGACTCTTTCCATGTTTGTTCCTCCCTGTCGAGTTGGGGTTTTCCTAGACTATGAAGCAAACACTGTCTCATTTTTTAATGTCACAAACCATGGGTCACTCATCTACAAGTTCTCTAAATGTCACTTTTCCCAGACCGTTTATCCCTATTTCAATCCTTGGAACTGCCCAGCTCCCATGATTCTGTGCCCACCGAGCTCCTGAACATTCTCCTTTCCTCACTCACTTCTGTGTAGCGACCCTTGTCCTGGGGCTCATCACCTGCACCTGAGCTCACTGCTCCATTCAGACCTTCTCTTCCTTGCTGTCTCCCTTCTGTAGAATGTCTGTTGATTCTTGGCTTAGAAGAGAAGCTTATTTACTCAGTTACACATTTTCTGTATTATCAGCAAAAGACACGCAGTCACTCTTAAAAACCGAGAAGTACTGGTATAATATCTATGCCCTCCCATTTCTCCATATCTTCCTTTATCACTAACTTGAAGAGGTACCAACCATGACCTTAGGACAATCCATAATCACCACCACAACTGAGGAGTGTTTGAGTGTATGTCTGTTTGTTGCCCGACATACAGAAGGTTGTCCAGAAAATATTTGGGGAGATGTTGAGCGGGGGGGAAACAAATGTAATATTTGTACTCAGAGTGAAAATTTTGTGCTCAGAGTTTAAATCCTCTCTTCTCTTACAAGGTGTGTAATGATGGATACGTTTTTTTTTCTTCTCATAAAATAAAAATTGGATTTTAAACTGCACCTAATTCTAAACATAGTTGTGTGAAACTAACATTACTCAATGTAAAGCACATTTTTAAGAGTCCTGCACTATTTTAATAAATATTTGCTCTCATAATAACTGAAAAGTATGAGCTGTGTCAGTGTCCTGTGCAACGGATGTGTGCCCTTCAGAGGAACAGAAAATGATTCTACTGAAGCTTACTTGTCAAGTTCCCAGATCTGCTGTCAAGACTACTCCAGTCCCAATCTTGTGTTACAGAACTTTTTACGTGGAGGCTGGGACTGTTTTAAGGCTCATTATTGGGAATGGGTCAGAAAACACAAACGTTTGAATTTACAAGATCTGTCCAGCAGAGAGAGCCATGTTTAGGGACAGCCACTCTTATTAGGGACAGACAGCCTTTTGGTGTTCAGAGCTTGTCTTTGTGCTGAAACATCTATAATAATAAAAAGCATAATATGCTAATTAGACCAGACAGCCATACAACCTTCCAGATGTCATTCTGGACGAAGCCACCGTGGCAAGGGACGAGGCAGAGGCAGTTAGGGGTGATCTGGCAGGTAGGCGAGAGGTTATGGGTGACCAGGCAGGCAGGTAGGTGAGCAGTTAGGAATCAATGGTCCCAGATTGCAAGAGGGTGCAGGCCAGATTGAGGGACCCCCATTCCTGTGCACGAATTTCATGCACCGGGCCTGTAGTCTAAGTATAACACCCTATATACCGTCTTATGCACTTTTCTTTTCCTTACATTTAAAATTAGTTTCAAATTATGATGAGGATAGTAAAGGAACAAACTTTCCTTAGAGCATCATACATTATAAATTAGGGTGGCTACTGCACAGAACCCAAATCAAGATGTAGAAAGGTAATAACATGTCCCAGTGGAATGTAAAAGAGAGTACTCGGCCTGGGAAAGGTATGTACATGTACTTATACCTACGAGAGAGAGAGAGAGAGAGAGAGAGAGAGAGAGAGAGAGAGAGAGAAATATATCTATATAATGATATGTATAAATATATAGAGTAATCTTTATCCAAGTTAATTTTCAATTATATCATAAAAGGATGAATTCCTTCAGGGAGTTGAAGGAATTTATAAACTTATGAGGTATGTCCCAATATTCCATGGCTAATGAGCAGATGAGGCAGAATTAGAACTGGATCTGTGTTTCTACAGCTCCAGTGCTGTTTCTGCAGTTCACTTCCCAAGAAAACATAGGTGCCAAATTCCCTAGAATGAGGGTAGGAGGGAAAAACCAGGAAATGCTGATTTACAGAAGGAGTCTGGAGCATCATGGGAAAATCTTAGGTGCCAGGAGATAGTGATTGACGTTCTCAATCCACATAGCCATTAAAGAAGCAGGAGCTGCTCATGGTAATGGTTGAAAACAAGTTGAATATTTAATGATCAGGGTGCTCTTGCAGGTGATATGTAGAGAGTGAACACTAGACAGTGAAGAGCCTTTGCTTTGAAATCAAATAGAATTTCATAATCATACTCATATTGCTATTTACCAGCTTAATTTAGATTAAGTTAAATTGCATACAATTCTCATTAGAAATAAAAATACTAAGAACAACATGATAAGAATATAGTGAGAGCCTGGCCGGAATGGCTCAGTAGTTGAGCATTTACCTATGAATGAGGAAGTCAAGGTTCGATTCCTGGTTAGTGCATATGCCTGGGTTGTAGGCTCTATCCCCAGGGAGGGGGCGGGCAGGAGGTAGCCAATCAATGATTCTTTCTCATCATTATGTTTCTATCTCTCCCTCTCCCTTCCTCTATGAAGTCTATTTTATTTTATTTTTAAAAAATATATTTTAATGATTTTTTTACAGAGAGGAAGGGAGAGGGATAGAGAGTTAGAAACATCGACGAGAGAGAAACATCGATCAGCTGCCTCCTTCATGCCCCCTACTGGGGATGTGCCTGCAACCAAGGTACATGCCCTTGACCGGAATCGAACCTGGGACCCTTCAGTACGCAGGCCGACACTCTATCCACTGAGCCAAACCGGTCAGGACTATTTTATTTTTTAAAGTAATAATGTGGGAATTGAAAAATAGAACGTTTGCCTGGCCAGTGTGGATGAGCATTGACCCATGAACCAAGAGATCATGGTTTGATTCCTGGTCATGGCACATACCTGGGTTGTGGGTTCCATCCCAAGAAGGGTCTGTGCAGGAGGCAGCAGATCAATGATTCTCTCTCACCACTGATGTTTCTCTCTCTCTTCCTTACTCTCTCTGACATCTAAAAAAACATAAAATAAAAAGAAAAGAAAATAGAACCTTTACACTAACTTTCTCATTTCCTAGCACATAAGCAGAGGTCTAAATTGTTGTTTATTAATTTTCTCTGTGAGTTCAAATAGTGGATGTTAGGAATGAATATTAATATACTTCAAATATCAGTACCTTTGTTGCGTTTTGAAATAGAATAACTAGATTAATGAACCACATACTTTTTAATCTCATCTTTTTGCATAATAAACATTGTGTTTTGTATTTATCTATTTATTTAAAAAATCTTTATTGTTGAAAGTATCACAGATGTCCACTTTACTTCCCCATTGGCCCCTTTTAACTGCACCTAACATTCTGTTTTTAAAATTTTCAAATATATTTGATCTTATAGTTAGTTTTCTAGTATACAACTCTAGGTTGTAATTTATTTTCTCTAAACATTCTCTTTGAATTTGCTGTGTGACAGTTTGCTCTCAATCACATTGCAGTTCAACAGTTATGCAAGATGAATATGTTCTAAAGATCTACTGTTTAACATTCTGCCTATAGGTAACTGTACTGTACTGTGCATTTTGTAATTATTTCTTTCTTATAAAAGAAAGTTTTATCTTTTGTAGCTACCTACTCCTTTATTTTAAGTACAGGAATAGTTTTTTTAATCTAAGTGAATATACTAGATAAAAGTTGATTTGACATTCTTTTGTATTCTGGTAGTAATTCTCTTTCATTAGAAAGCCTTTTCTCTGTTTGCCCAGGCATATCTCCATGATTCATGTGTTAGTTCAGATTATGACTTTCAGTGTCAGAGGCAAGGTCCGGGGTTTTATATGGGCTCCTCAGCAGTTAGGTATGTAGGTCAATATTTCCCTTTCTGGCCAGCCTCGCTCTTTCCAGGGAGCTGTAGGGCTGCAGCTGTCCTCAGGAGTGAGTAGAGCCTCTTCTCCCCTCCAGTGAGACAGCAGGGCAGGTGCTACAGGAAGGAGTGTTCCTGCAGCACGTGTCTGGCATTTTCATTTCCCACTCTTCCCAACCTGCTTATCAGCCAAGAGAAATAGAAACACTGGGCTACTTGGCCAGTGTCTGCTCTGGTCCCTGTCTCACAAGAAATTCTTCAGTTCTCCATTTCTGGAAGGCCTGTGGTGGGAGAGGGATTCCAAGACAGTTATGGAATAGATAACTATCTATTGCACTATTGGGTAGGGTGTTCCTCAGCCCAGCCTGCACCCTCTCCAATCTGGGACCCCTCAGGAGATCAGGCCGAAACTGGCAGTTGGATATCCCTCTCACAATCCAGGACTGCTGGCTCCCAACCACTAGCCTGCCTGCCTGCCTCATTGCTCCTAACCACTTCTGCCTGCCAGCCTGATCGATGCCTAACTGCTCCCCTGCCAGCCTGATTGCCCCCAACTGCCCTCCCCTGCTGGCCTGATCACCCACAAGTGCCCTCCCCTGCCAGCCATCTTGTGGGTGTGGGCACCACCATCTTTGAGGGCATGGCAGTTAATTAGCATATTCTCTCCTTATTGACTGTGGGTGCCGCCATCTTTGAGGGCAGTGCAGTCAATTAGCATATTCCCTCCTTATTAGTTGTGGGTGCCACCATCTTTGCTACAGCATGAGGGTCAATTAGCATATTCCCTCTTTATTAGGTAGGATAGGTACATCCAACTTCTCTCTGTGTCTCTCTCGCGCCTATCTCATAGACACTGAGGGAAATTGATTCTTATTTATACTCCCTTTGACCTCTGCTTCCTTTTACCCTATTGCCACAATAACTGAAGCCAGAAGTCATTAAGACAAACATGTAATCTGTGGAAAAGGTATACAACAGGTATCTCTCTAAAGTTATTCATAGGTTTTCATCCCCTGGAATGTCCAGGCTTCCAGTTTAAGATGTGAAACAAGTTACAGAAAAAGTTCCTGAGTTAGAAAACACAAAGGAAAAGTTCTTCAGGCTAAGACATCTTTTTTGTTTTTGTTTTTGTTTTTTTAGTTTTTTAAATTGTTTTATTGCTTAAAGTATTACAAAGAGTATTACATATGTCTCCTTTTATTCCCCACCCTTGACAATCCCCTGGCCTCCCCTACCCCCCAGTGTCTTATGTCCATTGGTTATGCTTATATGCATGCATACAAGTCCTTCTGTTGATCTCTTACCCCCCCTCCTGCCCCCAACCCTAACTGGCAATCCCGCAGTAGTTTGACAGTCTGTTCGAGGTAGCTCTGCCTCTGTATCTATTATTGTTCAAAAGTTTATAATGGTCTTTATTATCCATAGATGAGTGAGATCATATGGTATTTTTCCTTTACTGACTGGCTTATTTCACTTAGCATAATGCTCTCCAGTTTCATCCATGCTGTTGCAAATGATAAGGGTCCCTTCTTTTTTACAGCAGCATAGTATTCCATCATGTAGATGTACCACAGTTTTCTAATCCATTCATCTACTGATGGGCACTTAGACTGTTTCCAGATCTTAGTTATGGTGAATTGTGCTGCTATGAACATATGGGTGCATATATCCTTTTTGATTGGTGTTTCTGGTTTCTTGGGCTATATTCCTAGAAGTGGGATCACAGGGTCAAATGGGAGTTCCATTTTTAGTTTTTTGAGGAAACTCCATACTGTCTTCCATAGTGGCGCACCAGTCTACATTCCCACCAGCAGTGCACGAGTGTTCCTTTTTCTCCACATCCTCTCCAGCACTTGTCCTTTGTGGATTTGTTGATGATAGCCATTCTGACAGGTGTGAGATGGTACCTCATTGTTGTTTTGATTTGCATTTCTCGGATGATTAGTGACTTTGAGCATGTTTTCATATGTCTCTTGGCTTTCTGAATGTCCTCTTTTGAAAGGTATCTATTTAGGTCCTTTGCCC